TAAAAGGACAGATGAAGAAGGTTTCACTCTTGTGAGCGGAAGAAAAAACTCAAATCAAAGGAGCAACCCAAACAGCAGGAAATCCAGCATCACTAAAATACCCAAGAAACTTAAAACGAACTCCCAACAAGAAGACCTACCAATTAGAGAGACTTCCTCCGAACCTGTTTCATTCTTAAGCAAGGATACGAAAAAATTAGACCATAGGAAACTAGAAGCCGGCAATAAGCATAAAGCTGTCAATAAAGAAAATCCTCAACCAAGCTTAACTCCGAGAGTCAAAAATGCGGCTAATACTCAAAAAGATAATCAACAGATAAGTTTTATTACAAAGAAGGATAATGAGAAAGGCCAAGATAAAACTAAGAATGCTGTTAAGCTTGATAGTAACACTAAAAAACCAGTCTCTGGCCCCACTACTGGTACTGTCAACTCTGAAACTAATCTTGAAAAATTTAAATATCTAATCTTAATTCTACTCATTTAATTAAACATATTAACTATGTATTAACTATGTACAATACTGAGATACAATAAAAAAAAAAAAAAAAAAAAAAAAAAAAAAAAAAAAAAAAAAAAATCTTTACCACCGATCTGTTCTTACCTCTAGTTTTCCCCGCGCCCTTCAGGAACTAGCCGCTTACGCGAGTCGCGGACACTTGCCCGATGGTGCCAGTTTTCTGACTCCACCCGGGGAACGACCGGCCCCTTCCCACCTCGCCACGTCCTCGCGCCATCCCATGGCCCGTTTGACCGAACTTTTTAATGAAATAATTCCTTTACTTACAAACGAATTTCAGTTAGACGCGGCAACCTAGTTACGCTTATTTGAAGAAGAGCTCTCGGAATCTAACTCAAAGCGTCTTGCTGCAGAACTCGCTGTGAACAACGAGCGGCAACGTCTCCATCATGGCGAGGCTACTAAGGCTTTGGAACAAGCTCAACGCCTCATGGAACAGGCCGCAAATTTTGAGGCTCTTTTCCTTGAAAAGTGTGATCACCGACCGCGTCTCCGTTTAATTAACAGTGCCCCCCCCCCTCCCCGTCCCCAATCAAAAGACCGATTTTCAGAAATTAAGCATGTTGGCCGCTAAATTCGTCCAGTGGTTCGCAGTCAATTGTCAACTAGTACCAGGAAGACCTTCCTATGTATACGTTATTTCTCTCGCTATAGATTTAACGAATAGTTACAGCAGCACATGAAACTGTATCTTAAATATAAACCTGCAAAGCCAAACATAATGTTCGGTCAACTTGAGCAATTTGAAAACTTAAAATATGCAATGCCACATCAATTTATTATATACGCAGATTTTGAATGCTACCTGCGTAACATTGATCGAGATCCTGAAAGACCTCACAACATCGACATTTGTGTCTGCGTTGAATGTAAATTTTTATCTTATGTTTCTAACAGGATGCCTTGCTTTGACTACCGACAACACGGATGTGAGGGTCTCGCCATGAGAGGCGTGAATAAAGTTTCTCAACTTTTGCTTTGAAATGTTTTTTCCCCCCTTTTTTTCATTTTTTTGGTCACTGTTAATTGTAGTTTGGTCCTTTTCCAGATAAATAACCAGTCGTCTTCGGTAGGTCTTGGCAATCTTAAAAAATTGTTAAATCTACTTTAAATGCCGAAAGCGCATAAAATTCGTCGATATAAGGTATGACTCGCGAGTAAAGCTATAATAATAAGAAATAGTATATCAAAAATTTAAAAATACACACAAGAAATGTAGACGAAACTGACAGAGTAAATTATCAAAACCAAATGGATTCAGAGCTTGCTGTTAAAAACTTAAACCAAATACGTGTCAGTGATATCCCACAATCCATTCTCCACTTTTATATTTTTACTTACCTTATTGTTATTATTAAGTTACTATGGATAAGTTTATTATTGAAAAATGCCCAGCATTAGAACCTGATGACGATGATGTTTTCGTCCCTATTGATTGGGAAAAAGCAAAACGTGAATATGCTGACTTTTTACTTGAGGAAAGAATCGAGGATCATACAAAATTCCTAGCTCTTCAAAATTCTTTTCAAAAACCTAAAAAGGAACTTTTAGTCGATGAAGAAATTACATTTTTTCACCCTAAACTTGCTTCCTCAGAACTTTGGGAACTAAATATGTTTCGTTCCAAACCCAACACCATTATCTCTTTCGTTTGGCATACACATCACTCTGATGGACGTTTCGGCGCTTGCATCGACACATATAAATGTAAATTCTGTTTGGAAACAGCCCACGCTACGTTCGTTATGAGAACTTTACCAAAATGGCTGACTTTTCATGAAAAATACGATTTTCCAATCGCCCACAAAGACCCTCAACGATGTTATACTTGATACTAGCGATATTGCTTAATGATTCTCGATGCCTGTCCCTATAAGGAGGATAATTATTCTCACCCCTCCTTCCCCTTTCTAGGCAAACGAAAAAATATCACATTCTCTGATTTCGATTATGAATCTAGTTAGATATATTTTGTAATTAGTTATTTAGTTGTTTTTCCATTATTATAATATGTTTCAGAACGGCTTCTACGGTCATCGCTTTTAATGGCATGAATAATATTTCAGAAAATCCAGGACTCTTATCCCTCGAATTGGGACCTGCCCAACAACGAGATACTTTCCATACCTTTGTACACTACTATAACATTTCCCTTTTACGTAAAGAACTTACTCTTATTCAAAATTCTTATCCGAATTTTCCGGAAATCCGAAATTTCTCTTGAAAATCAAGTGCAACAGGGTTTCAGGATACTGGACCGCAAGGCAAAGGAACTGGACAGTCTGGAGAGATGCGAGAGGAAAATTACCAAAGTGCAACAGGACAAGGGAGCCAAAGGAACCACAAAGGCGAACAGATCTTAAACATGATCATGTCATCAACCGTCACACCACTGGCCCGTTTTTTCGATTCTCACCTGTAGCTGGAGAGTCACTACCGATGGATGCCTAACGATCAGGAGTCATTGCGCCAGGCACGCAAACTCGCGCAGTACCAAATAAGTAAGAAGTCTATCATACAGATATTCAACCATGTCAATAAAATAGACACGGATAGGCTTTTATTTGCGTCAGATACTCCGTCTGAGTATTATTTTGGGATAATAAAATCTTTCGAAGTTTGTTTAGAGCTGTTAGTGTGGCAAATGGGATATGAGAATATAAAATCTTTTTTGCAGGATATATTTGACGTTTTAGAAAAGGTGCGCCCCGAGTGCAACACTTTGTTCATCCAAACGTGGTCTGCCGCTTCACATTCCTGCAGAATCATTCATTAATTTCGAGTCTTCAACTCATTTTACAGCCTTTTACGGTTCTTTGATTTGTATTGTCCTGTTAACCTTCTTCATCAGCGGATATTTATGTTATGCCAGGCGGAAGTACTCGCGTGTGCCGCTTCATGAACGATCTGTTTCATTCATTAGCAGACCGATACCTACTACTACTATCAAGCCGACGGAAAACATTGTTATCTCCTGTCCGACTTCTCAGCCTCCACAGCCGCCACAACCAGCTCAATCACCACATTCTGATTATTCAACCTTGTCGGCGTTATATCGTCTTTTGGAGTCTGTCCCCGCACCGCTCACTCCACCTCCGTTACTACCGCTAGTGGAACTTGCTCGCCTGACCTACCAGTGAATGACCCGTCGTATTCATTGACTCAGCGATACTACATTACTACAGCACTGCCGCTGTCCCTTATCTATAATTGTTTTCAAATTACTCAAGCTCTCTTCTTTACCTTGTATTACTTCTTAATTGTATTACTTCTTAAGTCCTTTTCCAAGACTGAAGGTAAATTGTCATTCCCCTTCTCAACTTATTCCTCCTTTAACTTGCATTCACCTTTTTCTTGTTTAAAAATTTATGGTGAATCTTTTCGAAATTATTTTCAATTTTTTTTCTCCCCCATAAATTTTCTCTTACGGCGGAGGAGTTATAAAATGATGATTCTCATTTTATTTGGTGACGCTTGACACTGACCTTATCACAAGGCGATTGCCAAGGCGTAGTCCACCGCATGTGTCTCTTTTTGTCAACGTCGCGTTTCGCTCTGGTCCCCTATAAAATGGGACTGGGACTCTCGTCTATTGGTGATAGCTTCCCCAACTTCAGTCTTGGCTAGTGTTACCCAGTCCTTGTGATTGTTTAGAATAAACCTATTCTACATTTATTCGAGTTGGTCATTCCAGTCTACCCTCCCAGGTAGTCTCGTCTATCATTAGTCATACAGCTACTATAAAGCAAGCATTTTGGCAATCCGAGGGGTCGTGAGTAAAAAATTTGCTGAATTTTAATGTAAAGCAAGAAGTCTAAAATTTAATTAAAATCTAATGTTAATGACCCAAAGAGCCAATAAGGTGTTAAAAACTTTTGGAAAAGTGAGTTCAATTCCAGCAGTCCTCACCAAAATATGTTGATAGTGTTAAAAGTGATCAGATCTCTTTAGACTAGAACAGCGTACACTGTGATTTGTCGATCAAAAAAACATTGACTGAGTTGCGTTTCCATTTTTCAATTAGATTGTGTCAGAGAAATTGATACTCTTCTTTGAGCAAGATAGGAGAGATTTGGAAAGCCTGAAAATTTTTTACAAAGATGGAAGTGTTTTAAAACCTACACTTGTGAAGATTTTTAAATCTGTGGAAAGGTTTGAAAGAGGTTCAGGTTATTGAAAGTAGAGAGAGAGAGAGAGAGAGAGAGAGAGAGATCAATGACAAAAAATATCATCAACTTATTTCCAATCCTGTGAAGATGAGAGGAGGCATGTTGGAATATTTGTCAATTTCTGATCAGCTAAAAACTTTTGACCTTCTTACAAAATTCACAGAGGCTGTAGAAAGTTCATTCGAAAAGCTGATTGTGGAATCCTAACATTTCCAGCAGAGAAATTTTTCAGCATTTCTGCTCTCCTTCAATGATTCTGGTACCTATTTCAGTAATTAACAATTTTACCGGAGCCACGCATAACTACTCACAAATGAAGAGTAAATCTCAGCTAGTTTTTTGAAGAAGATAATCTATGTCCATCAACCACAAGATCAGTCTATCCAAATAACCAGCATCCAAGCCCCAATTCATGAGGAGAAGTGTGAGGTACTTTTCTGATGAGCCACTTTCTAACAGGATGTGCATGTTCTTGTCTTGCAGAGATAATCTAAGAAGAAAAAAAGAAGAAAAATAATATGATGTACTTAAAGAAGAAGAGCGAGCAAAGGACTAAGCTCACAATGCCAAGAATTTCAGCCCAGCAGTTTGATTGTTGAAATTTTGTTTGTCGGGTAGACATAATGAAATAGGTTAAAAGGCGGAGCGTGATTGTTCGGCTATGTCGTATTGCTGCTTTGTCGTACCTATGTCGGGTGGAACTCACGACAAGCTAAAGGCACCTCTAAAGTTTCCGACAGTATTTCATCCATTCCACCTGACAAAGGCTCGATAAAGCAGCGATAAGCCATAGCCGACCAATCACGCTCCCCCTTTTAACCCATGTCATCTATGTCCACCAGACAAACACAAAATTTCAACAATCAGGCTGCTGGCTAAATTGCAAGGTTTTATTGTAAACTGTTCCTTACAATCTCCTGAGGAAGATTAGATTTTAAAATCGAACTTTCTGTTTAATTATTCATCTTACATCATTAAAAGACGCAAGATGCGATTATCAAGTTATCTTTCCATTTAGCTAATCTCAAAAATCTGCTACCGAAATAGACAACGCGTCATCAACTCAGTTTAAAATAGAAGGCTCTGCATCTTCAACTTAGCGACAGAGCTACTTCTCCAAATGATACAAAGTGTTAAATTGCTGAAGAATGCACTTTTCAGACCGAACTTTTCCGAGATAGGCAAGTAGAAAGTTAATTTTAAAAGCTCATAATGTCCAAAAGATCGTAGGGGGCATCATATAAAAAAATCTCGAAATTCAGTCGACACTAAATTTTTTTGTATTATGTGTGTGGTATTTTTCAGAGCCTATCATTGAAGGATTTCATTAGGGACTACATATCTAACAAAGAGAAGCATTTCAACAGGCACTTATAACTTTAGTCACTTTCTTTCTAGGATGGAAGCTTTTTTAAGGTGTTCATTTGGTAAGTGTTCTTCGCCAAGTTAAATCTATTCAGCCTTACCCCAAAAGGTTCTCAAGGCATGCAACCTATCCCATGCCTTCTGATTCTCTGCTTGGACTTAGCTATTCTTTTTTCGTGACTGCATTGCCATTATGATTCAAACTGACAAAGGTATATGACACTATCTGCTAGAAATTTTCTGATTGGTCACTTCCAATAATTTTCAACAAAATGCGTACCAACTTGTATGCAAAGAGAGAAATAATGTAGTCAGTCCTAAAAGCTGAAGCTACAGACTGAAAATCCTACCTAAATCATTACCTACAGTAAAGAATTCAGTCCTCACAGGCAAATATAAGTCACCTTCGTAGTTTTTCTTTACGGCATTTGAGCCTGTATTGAATGTGAACTGGATTTAACGTAACCGAAGGATTTGAAAATCATTAAATCAAATTATAAATTAGCAATGAAATCAAGGTTCAATGTAAAAAAAAATTTTCCTTATTCAAGACATATGGCTGTTAAAGAGGACAGTTTTCTGCCAGTAAAACATTAAAAATCGTCAGATCAGCCTGTTATTGGGCACACAGGCTAAACATTGGTGAAATATTGAAACATGATATGATATGTATTGTACATTTCTCACTTATTGAGGAGATATTCGTTGGACCGTAACTCCATTGCAAGGTTGCAAAATTCACTCAAACAATTAAATTTGTTACAAAATATACCAGTGCAATTTTTTTCTGATTTTTGTACAAGGTCAAAAAAAAAAAAAATCAGTGAAGTTTTCAGTTAGAAATGCCAAAGATATTCCTTGTAAAATGCAATGAACTAGGGGCAAATTTAGCAACATTTAAAAATAGTTACATTCTATCATCAGAGAAATGGCGTATTGCACTGTGGACACTGACAGTGCTGACAAAAGTAGATTACAGTTTTCAGCGACTCCAGATAGAAGTTTGCTTTTCATTTCGAGAAGCAAGCACTTTCTAAAAATATAAATACAGATCTGGAAAATACTTACAATTTGACAAGCACCATTGCAATGAAATACCACTCAGGAGGTTTAAAGGTAATGTTGCTGGAACTAAAATTAAATGTTTGGCTGAGACTTCTGACAGCTGAAGTTAAGTTGAAAGTACTAAGATTCAGTGTTCTTCCAAGGTCAGGCAATCTGTGAAAAAAATTAGAAAACATATTTTTGAGAGATGCGCTAAGACTACTGAGTGGAATATTTAGGATGCAAAATGTGAAATATTCCTTGAAACCCTTAACTTGAAAGCTCCATGAAAAGGCCTCAAGTATACACATGAGCAAATAAATCAGTGAAGTTTCTAATTTTTCAAGTCAAGCTTGATACAAAAAAAAGGACAGACTGCGACTGGAAAAAGGATCGTCAACAGTAAAAGTGACTTATGTACTTGGAACATAAAAGAAAGATACTTAAAAGGGGGACAGAAGGGCCAGAATTGGTCACTAAAAGTTCAGACAAATCAGTCTCCCTCCATTAACAAATCTGAGGAACTCTCCGCAATTTAAGCTTCCAGAAAAGTCCCTGAAAAGAAAAAAAACGAAAAAAAGTTTTTTCAGCCTAATTCACGTGCTTTGTTTATTTGGGTGTCTTGTATTCAAATGACCATCCAAATGACAACGTAGGTTTATTAATAGCCAGTTTCAAAATAAACACTTACATAACATTTAGACGATCTAGGACAATTCTCCTCCTAAGAGCCTTTTGAGCATGCAAATCCACTAATGGTAAGACTACGCCCTCATCATCCTCTTTATTGCAGTTTTGGGGAGTCGCTTCTTCTATCTCTATTCTCGTGCTTCCTTCATAAAAAGATCTGACTTTGATTTCCAATTGCTTGGCCTCTCTTTGTAGCAGACTGTAATCAGGGAGCGGCTTCAGATCAGCATTTTTTTCTTTTGCAGCAGCGTCTGCTCTAGCATCTTCCAGTTCTAACATGTTCAACTTCTTGCAAATGCTCAAGTATTTCTCGTAGGTACTTGCATCTGTTCCGCATAAGTTTTGACAATCCTTGAAATCTGCGCCTTTTAAACGTAGCGAGTTTTTGACGGACTCCTCGCCAAGAAGGAAGACCAGTGAGTCGAAGGTCATCCATTCTCGGAGACATTTTTCTATATGTTTCACAACTTCAAGTAAAATTTTCTTCCGGTCGATGTTTTCTTCTTGCTTTTTTGTTTTATGTCGTTGTTTCTTAAAAACTGAATGCTCACTAGATTTCGACTCAGTTGTAGAGCTTTCTAATTTTGTTCTACTGCAGGAACTTTCACTAGATTTACTCACAGGAACATTTAAGGTAGTTTCTGCACGTGAATTTATAGAATTGGACTTCAGAGTAGAATTTGCCAAATGAGAGCTTCCTTCTACCCCAGATGATTGTTCATTGCAGCTTTCAGAGATCACAGAACAATTTTTGACTACTGTTGAGTCCGAATTTTCTAAACAGTCAGTGCTGTCTTGCACAGATACATTAGTGGTGGAAGCCATGGAATGTCCCTTTTCACAGATTTCTGAACAGGAGCTTTCTTGAAATATCAAATTCTTTGTACTTTTCTCTTTGGAGGCTGAGGCTAATAAACTGACAGAGTCATTGTTGGAGTCACTCCTCATGCTCGGTGATAGATTACCCTGCAAGGAAGGGGTATCATCTGCAGCTAATTCTGTGTTTTCAGAACTACCTAAACTAGACACAAAATTTTCAAATTTTTCGGTATCTTCTTGAGGGACAGTAATTGACTCTGACCCATTATTATGGTTCTTTGATGAATTAGGGTTAGTGAAACAAACTTGCTCCCCTTTGTCATTGGATGGCAAAATTTCTCTGCCTTCAGAGCTCTCATTTTCTTTAAGTTTAACCTGAGTTATGGTTGAAAGCTTCTCAGATACTAATGAAGTTGAAAGTTCCTCAGATTCTTGGCCACAAAGTACGTTTTCCTGGGTAGTGCTTCCTTCATCCGTTGGATCTTGAGGCAGTTTTTCACTTTCACTGAGGGAATTTGGTGGGTCTCCGAGTACAGATGCATCATCTTCAGCAGTTGATACATTGCTTGGCAAATTAACTTCGGATAAACGAACTCGGGAATGTCCAAAATCGACTTCTGCTCCAAGACTTCCGCTGAAAAAGGAGACAGAAAAATAACTATGTAAAATGTATGAAAAATTTCACTCGTGCATGAGAACAGTTCTTGTACTCAGCAACATGTATTTTGTTCTTTGGAGTATCATCTGTAATCTGGATATGCTTTAATCCTCAATAGTATGAATTGATTTCGAGTCCCGGATTATAAAGGACACAAATCTTTGCTGTAGCTTTTGTAAAAACATAGAGTAGAGTCCTCAATTTTTTTCTCAAAATTCCAGATTCTTTGTAATTAATATTTCAGGAAAGAAAACTGTGATAAAAATTCACCATCATTCCTCAGAAAAGTAGTTAAATTTTTAAAAAAACAAAAAAATTCCTTGCTACGAATATGTAACACCATGCCAAGATTCTTGAATACTGAATGATAAAACAAAAAGCTCTCTTTACACATCAAAGTTAGAATGTTGAGGAAAGTTTGATGGATGGCTAAAATTTGGTCTTTGGGTACTTTAAAGAGGGAAGACTCGCAATAACGGCTGAGCAAGATGTGTTCCTACTTTTTCAAGGAAAACTGAAATTGAAAAAAATGAGCAATCCTGCCAATATGAGGAAAGAAGCTATTAGAGCATTCGTATGTTCCTAAATTTTTCAAAATGAATTAGAGATAGTCTAAAAAACTAGACTATGCTTTTCCTTAAAATTTTAACAAAATTTTATTCACTATTTCATCCAGTAAGTATAATTGAAAATTTCAACTAAAAGTAATCATACCTAACTTACATAGAAATTAAACAGTTAATCTAAGGAAATATGAAATTTTTCAAATGCTCATGAGGTGCTTTCTCAGCAAGTGCGATAAACTTCTCCAGATTCCACAATTATCAGGGCATGTCCAAAGTTTGGTCACAGCCTGCTGAGAACAATTTGCAACCCTGCTTTAAACATCAAAGAAGTGGTTGAAATGATACGTAGAATGATTTGATATGACAAAGCATCAAAACTTACCCTTTATCTATATGAAGAATTTTGTAATCGGGTCTTCCTTCAGCATCTCTCAACCATAGAGGACTACTTAATAACTGATCCTTCAAAAAGATAGATGCTTTGTAACATCCACTGCTACAAAAATTCTGAAAATAGAGGAGGGTATTAATTACATATAAATTAGATCAAAACTTGACTTCTTTTCTTATGAAATTCTTTTCCTCTGTGATTAGATGAACAGTGGCTCCATTCACGCTTGTTTCATGGATCAATTTTTTGTTTCCAGACAAAAAACAAAATCAACATTGCAACATTCCAACTCCCTAAGTAATTGTACTTGCAAAGACAAAAAAAACTGTTGGGTGATTCCAACGAGCAATTTTACAGATTTTATTTTTGATAACTGACTAACATCAGCAAAATTATTGACAAAAATTGCGCAATTTATCTCTTGTAGAAAATTGATTTTTTTTTATCGGTTCTTCAATTCATGAATGGCGTTACATTCCTTGGTCAAATTAAAGGATATCATAGATAGAGGAGTTGAGTGATGTTGGTAAAAATGAATTTATTAGTCGTTTTGAGTATAACTCATCTCTCAGTATGCTTAGCAAAAAACTGAACACTGGAGATCATTTAACAACAGCGATGAAATAGGAAACGAAAAACTAAAGTGGACCTCAAATTCCACATACTATAAAACCCTTACCTTTCGGTCAGTGATGTCGTAGACTTTGTTTTGTCTCGTAGAGATATGGTATATTTTGGACGGAACATTTTTCAAAATGTTACAACACAATGGATAACCACAAAGTTCTGTAATGGCCCTCTCTTCTGTAACATCTTGATACTGATCTTGAGTGATTGAATGCACCTTAGAAAAAAAAAAAAAAGAAAGATAGAAAAAATAGCACATCTGTTGAGAGAAGATAATGTAAAAAGATCAGGGCTGCAACACGGAGGGTTACAGTAAAACCAGGTGGTTTGGGTTCGATGCCTCTCTTGCAGGATCATATGCCAAAATATGTTCATTGTAGTTCACTGAGAGGGGAAGTTGTCTTCAGTTTCAAGAATGGACACTGATGACTGGTGCTGATGACAAATAGTGATTTTAAGTTGTGCAGCAGTGATTTCTGAGTCTTCTCAATTTGATATCGATGGCGAAAGTGCCAAACTACATACCCCCATTGGGGTGTTTCAAAGTTTCCGCTTTTATTTCATTTTTCAGAAGAGAAAACAGCCCACTTTGTACCTTGGAATTTACACTGAATTTTCTCCTAGGACAGATGGAAAATCAAGGAAGTTTTTAGGAAATTGTATTGACTTGCTTTCTAAAGAAAAACTAAAATATGACAGGAAGCCTGCAACGCTACGAATGGAGGTATGTGGTTTTGCTTTTTGGTCAACAATATATTTAGAAGCAGGGGAGGGGGATTCATCATAGTCCGAGAGAATATCAAGAAAGTTTCATATCTCAACGACTGCTGATTCTCATCTTTTGCATGATTTTTGATTCTACAGGAGGAAGTGTTGGGTGAGAATTCATGGTTTAATAATTGGATGGACAATATGATATTCGGTTCAAGAATTGGATTTGATAAGTCCAAACAACAGAATCACTATTTGATATTATAAATTGTCCATTAACAGTTGTAACTTGCTGCTACACAAAATTAACACAGGTTGTGATCATGCGTATAGATCGATGAGCAAAGGTGCCATCATGTCTCTGTGCTATAAAGGGACTCTCACTAAAAGCGGAAAAGACTCATACATAGTATAATTATTGTCTTTGGTGTTAAACTGTTTGGCGCAGCACTAGTTGCGTTGAATCAGAAACAGACTGTAGACAAGTTTCAGTTCTAAGTGCTTGGATCCATCATCAGTGCAGCGCGGCTTTTTAATTTTTTGCTTCATTTTAGGATCAAAGACTTCTCCAAGAGTGGGAGTGGAAAATCGGTCAAGCCTTGTACTAATACTGGCTCCTACTAAAGCCAAAACGTGTTTATAGTTGCTATCTGATAACACAACTAGTGTTGCACCAAACGGTATTACTATAAAGGGGAAGTTATACTCAAAATGAGTTCTTTTCGTTCAACAGTGAGAGTCCTGTGTAATGCAGGGACACGTCACCTTGACTGAATGATCCATGTGGTTATAAGCTGTGTTTATTGACTGGTGCGTCAGTTACCGCCTCCGTTCGTAGTAAATTAATATACTTTATGCTACTATTGACGAATGAAAGATTAACACCTTTGAGCTGATACATGAAAATTTGATTAAAAATCAGGCACTTTGGTTCTTAAAGTGTTGTAAAGCGCAAATAATCCTGTTATAGGGAGTGTGTCATAATTATTCGAGTTACTATAAAATATAACTTACTGAATCAAGCAACCACTTTTCTTCTACTTTACTGTCTATCATTTTCTCGATAATAGCCATTGCTTTGATGGTAGTTTCTTTTTTCTTCTGAGCTGTCACACGTAAAGCTTCTTTCCTGAAAAATTGGGAAATTTGGAGGTTAAGGCATCATAAATCTACCTGCAGAGGACAGGTGGCCAGAGAGGATCTTTCTTCATTATCAGTCTGAAAAATGCTTAGGTGAACATTTTTCAGACCATCTCATCAATCTGACGTATTGTTGCCTCCCACACATAGGATTGTAACTCATTTGCGCAACTTCAGTGATTCATCAATCATTATATTTTCTCACAGAAAAACCTTTGAAAAAAGTGTCTGGAAATTTTAGTGTCATTTCTCACAAGAGAAGAGAAAAGTCACTAAAAATTTCAGGTAAAGGGTGACAGGTTTCCCCCAAAAAATTAAATGTCAGTACTTAAGAAACGCTAGGGCAGTGCAATTGAGATACGTTGATAGACGCTATTAGTGGTTACGTCATCATAGGGATTCTCCATTATATCGCATGGGATCCAAACAATAACGTTGGCATAACCTCTTCCAATGCTACCAATGCCAAAAAATCGATATATATCGCTTTTCTGTGACTTGCCACTAATAGCGTCTACTGCATAGGAGACAACAATAAAAGTACCCACATCTCAATTGCTGAGCACCAAGTTGGAGAGAAAAGATCTGAAATACAATCCTTCAGAATATCAAATTGTTGCAATTTAGGCAACTGGCAGAACTTTATTGCATCATACAATGAGAAGAGACTGAGGAAACTGGGGAACCTACAGGCAGCTACTGATTATTTCGATCTAATTCAAAGCAATTAGGGCATTTGACGGACTTTGATAACTCCTCCTCACCAGAGAGCTTTCTCCTTCTCAACACTTATGCAGAGGATTTAAGTACTTAGCTACAATGCTCCAATACTTAAAGCCTAATTTGGCCCCACCATTTCTGGTTTGCTATGTGCACCCAGCAGCATCCTCAGGGAAAGCGGAGAAGTACAATAATATAAAGAATAGTGAAAAGTAAAGGAATCTAAGGACTTACGATAGAGCTTTTTTTGGAACTTTCTTCCGACCACACACTCCAGACATTTTTTTGTTCACTTGTCATTTGAAAATTAAAAGAAAGGCTTGATAGAGCAGAATACTTTGAGGTAGCGTGAAATCTATTGAAATTAAATAGGACGAGGTACTTTCAAGCTGGTAGCGAGGATCAAAGATCAAAGACACACTGAACTGAAATTGAGGATTTGGGTTGGCTTCTATCTTTTTCTGGAGCCCGGAATTCTTTACGACTAAGAAGATGCCTTATTGCCTTAAAGAACAGAACTGTATAAATAAATAAACAAAGGAAAAGAGATGGCGTCCCGAGGGGAGGGGGGGCTGCATGGGGTCACGCCAAGTTGGGGTCACGCAATGGTCACGGGTCACGAACTCACGACGGGTTTCTAAAAAACGGTTTGTCCTTGTCCTGAGTCCTGCCATAGAATAAATAGACTACGTCAACAGAAGCGAAAGCTCCGTAAGAACCAATGTTAACATTTTTCTGCGCAGATTGAAACCAATTTCGAGGTTACCTACAAATATAAAAGTGGAAAAAAACATTAAATTTTAAGCGAATATACAGTACTTCTTCGGTTTAACGATAAATAAGTTAAAAGAAAACTCTTACAATTCCTTAAAACGTATGTATCCGTTATTATTCGACCTCTCCAAAACCGCAAACGTAAACAGTACTTATTGAAACAGCCTCCTTTCGGTATGCTTCGTTGACATGAAAATGGCGGGGGCTTTCGCTTCTGTTGACGTTAGTCTCTTTATTCTATGGTCCTGCACCTGCTACCGTGTTGCCAAAGCTCAAAAAAATCGGTTGTGTGAGCGTGCAAGAACAACGAACCGGCAAGGTTGTGCAGCACTTGTGGCTGACTTGTGGAGGTTTGTGTTTGTTGTTTGAGGTTAGGTTAGGGAAGTTGTTATCTACCAAATTGTTATCTGTGTCCTTCTCACTGATCCTTCTTATAAGTAACTTTCAATAACATTCCATGAGATAAGCGTAAAAGTTTTATCAATCAACGATTTCATTGAACTCATTTTTGTTCTCTTCATCAACCTATTCTGAAGTTAGTATCTATCTTGTTTGATCGGACACTAGGAAAGTAAGTACATATCCCGTCTCTCAATAGTATACCTTTTCCCTCTGATTGCGCAGATTCTGCGACTGCTTTAAAAGTGCAAGCAAAGACACATCGATGAATGAAGTACGGTTAGGTTAAGTGAAGTTAAGGAATAACGTAGCTCTATTGCAGTGTTTCAAAATTTCCGCTCCTTTTTCATTCATTTGAAGAGGAACTAGCCAACTTTACAGCTTGAAATTTTAACAGGCTATTCTGCCTGAGAATAAAAATCAAGGCAGTTTTCAAGAAATTACCTTGACTTGGTTTTCAGTGAAAAAATAAAGTATGATGGGAATTCAGCAACGCTGCAAAGTGAGATATGTGGCTTTGTACTTTAGTCATCGATATGGTAAAAGCAGCCGAAGCAGAGTTTATCAATTATTCAACACTAATTTATCCAATGAGCACAATCATTTGTTGTCATAAAATCCTGTATTTTAAGGATACGGAAGGAGGATTGCTCTGCATTTTTGCAGGTATTTAAATGCAAGTTGAATTATAGATATGAGAAACTACTAATTAGTTTAGCGAAATGTGATCAATCCTACTTCAAGTTCCTACTTTTAAAATTAGTTGGCAGTTATTTTTGCCCTTTTGCAGGAATGCTCGTAAGTTCAAGTAGGCGGTTCTAAGACCCGATTATTAAATCTATGTCGATACGACACGGCATTTGTAGCCCTATCATAACTACACAATATACAGCACTTTAAGGTCTTATCTCGCTGCTTAAAATTAATATTTGGCCTGCTGAGAACAATTCCAGGCTAGACATGCGAGGTTTGCAGTTTCAAAATGTGGATCATTTCGGGAGATCAAGATCCTAGATCAAGTGAAAGAGTTTAGCTCTGAGTTAGTTGGCACTTCTTAGATTTTACCTAGACTAATTTACTCAGATGGGGGCCTACTGTTTTTTGTTCAGTCCGTCATGTAGAACATGATTCATTCTCCTCGTGTACTAATCTGTACCTTAAAATACTTTTTTTTCCAGAATGGCAGCAGAACCATCGCTAGGACCAAAGTCTGTAATGTTTGTGTGCTTGGGCAACATCTGCCGTTCACCGATTGCGGATTGTGTTATGCGACACCTAGTCAAAGAGCGAAACCTTTCAGGGTGGACTGTGGATAGCAGTGGAACAGGGTCTTGGCATGTCGGTAGCCCTGCAGACCGCCGTGCTCAGCAAATCCTGGAAGCACATGGTGTCGATTCAACACACACTGCCAAACAGATTAAGAAGAAAAATTTTTCTGAATTTAGCTACATTTTTGGCATGGATGAGCAAAATATTTCAGATTTGAAGCGTTCGGCCCCTGCAAATTCCCCAGCTAAGATTGAGCTGTTAGGAGACTACGACCCACAAGGCGAAAAAATCATCCGAGATCCATACTATGATAGTGATACTGCTGGTTTTGAGAAGGTCTATGAACAGTGTCTCAGGTGTTGTACTGCATTTTTAGAGAAAGTTGAGAGCAAAAAATAAACTGTTTGCGTACCTTGAATGAAATTGAGCATGAACCTTCCATCAAATACTTAAATAATGGACTTTCGTTCAATGACGAAATGTGAAAGAATTTTTTTCAATCAATTAAGAGGCTAATTTATTCCGTAATCATGCAAGGTGTTGAATCATATTAATATTGTCTATTTTTCTTTCTAAGCGTTTCATAAACTTTTTATATTTGTTGTTTTTCATTTTGGGTGTTTTCTTTTTTTGTCATTCCACCTGTGAGTTTTAATTTTTCACTATTGATTGATGGTTTACCCCTTCAAAGTTAAGAACACCTAAGAATGAATAAAGGCAAAATTGCATTAAGCATTAAAGCAACAATATTTTATTTGCTCTATTTCAGACATTAGACAGAGATCAAAATCCTTCTGATTCGAGGAATGATTGTATCAATTAGAAAACATTGTAGGACCGTTTCTTAGGGGATTTCGTGGCGAAAGTTTCATTTTGTTTCACTTGAACTTTTTATCACCAAAAAATAGTGTTAGAAGTGAATGTAACTAGGTTTCTTCATCCATCTTGCCTAAGTTTGCCTGAACTGTGAATCCAGGGTAAATCGTCCTACGTATTGCCACCACTTTGATGTATGACTGATTCAGTAATATACATATTTTTGGAGGTTTCTTTAAACAAATTTGAGCTAAGAAAATAAATCCATGTCTCAAGAGTACATATGACATGGCTAAAGTTGGAATATGCGTCTCTCCATTAATATTAAAAAACCCTCAATTATTATTTATTTTTATAAGAGATTTTATCCAAATATCTCTTTGCAATGGACCACTAGACAAGGTACGAATTTAAGCAATCTGATACATGTTTCTTAACCAGAATTTCACGTTGAAAACGATTCACACAACGAAAATTACTGAAACTAGCTCCTCAAGAAGATATTAACGTGTTTATTTCACATTGGTTGCGAGGAATTTGAACTGCCCGCTCAGAAGAAACTCAAAGCTCTACTTGAGTCAAATTGCGCACTACAACGGTTTCAGCTAGCTTCTCAATCGAGCAATGTTCATTTTCCACTATGTGTTCTTCAAACTATTAGCAATTTTCTATAGCTGAGCCAAAGCGTCAAGATTGAGGTTGCCAGTTTTTTATATCGCAGAGACTGTAATGATAAAGTTTAGCGCGCGATGTGAATCACGTAGAGCATTGAGTTTTCATGAGCGGGTGGTTTGAATTGACGCATCAAGAATCATCAAATATCTTCGTAAGGAGTTTATGGAGGTAATTTTTGTTGTGCGCATCGTATTCTACGTGAAATTTTAGTTACGAAACATGTATCAGAATGCTGAACTTCGCACCCTGTCTAGTGGTCCATTATGAATATTATTCAGTGAAACTTTCAGAAGTTTTGCATCCAAAAATGAACAAAATTATCTGAGAAATCGGTATATGATATTCAAATATTTGACAAATATTCAAATATTTTCCTAAAAACTAGTAATTTGCCGGGGGAAATTTGACAACGCCCGAGGGCTCATACGGCGTTTTCCTTAGCACGGCAGAGTAAGTGTCACATTTTAGAAATCGAGTCTCCTTCAAGTTTCGTCTAATCTCTGCTAGATGAAATCACTGAAATAAAAAAAAAAAGACAAAATTAGCGCAAGTGAGTACGCGAAATGTCATCTTTTTTACAATATTGTCTCGTGACTGTCACCTACAAAATCATCTATCACTGAAATGGCTTAAACAACAAAATTCATCCTAATTGTATAAAAACGAGACATATGAGAAAGCCGAAAGTGCGCAAAAAATGACGTGGACTCAGGCAAGACAGCAGTAAGTGACATTATACCTTAAGAAAACCAATGGAAACNAATGGACCACTAGACAAGGTACGAATTTAAGCAATCTGATACATGTTTCTTAACCAGAATTTCACGTTGAAAACGATTCACACAACGAAAATTACTGAAACTAGCTCCTCAAGAAGATATTAACGTGTTTATTTCACATTGGTTGCGAGGAATTTGAACTGCCCGCTCAGAAGAAACTCAAAGCTCTACTTGAGTCAAATTGCGCACTACAACGGTTTCAGCTAGCTTCTCAATCGAGCAATGTTCATTTTCCACTATGTGTTCTTCAAACTATTAGCAATTTTCTATAGCTGAGCCAAAGCGTCAAGATTGAGGTTGCCAGTTTTTTATATCGCAGAGACTGTAATGATAAAGTTTAGCGCGCGATGTGAATCACGTAGAGCATTGAGTTTTCATGAGCGGGTGGTTTGAATTGACGCATCAAGAATCATCAAATATCTTCGTAAGGAGTTTATGGAGGTAATTTTTGTTGTGCGCATCGTATTCTACGTGAAATTTTAGTTACGAAACATGTATCAGAATGCTGAACTTCGCACCCTGTCTAGTGGTCCATTGCTTGTTCATATTTTAAGTAGTTAAGAGAATTCTCCAAAAATGTAAATGAAAATTGTTGCTTTGTTTTATCGTAAGAAAAGTAAACTCCTGCCAATATTTACAGTGTTCCAGTCAGAGATACGCATTTTCCACTTTAAGCTGTTGATATGAATAGGTATTTTAAACTAAGTTATAAGCTCAAAAATTTAGTCAAAATTATGATAAAAAAATCACAAGTAATCGATTGTATGAGGAGGTGGGAGCACAGTGCACCTCTGAACAGAAACATCCTCCAGTGCATAAAATAATGTTAGAACCCCCTCAATCTCCTGCAACTATATCATAAAAATGTTGAAGCTTTTATGAGTAGCTCATAGTTGGATGATGAGATTAATAAAAATGTACTAACAAATTTAGAAGCGCCACCGCAAAACAGTTTTGTTACACCTATGCCTGCTCTAGAAGTGATGAAGAGTTTCTAACTTTATGGCAAAGAGTCTCGATTTATGTCTCTTATGACTCCTGTCATTAAGTTTCTTTCTAAATTTGATGTACCTACATTTTCTTGGATGCTTGTTAGGTACAACCATTGCAACGCATCTAGCCCATTCAATTTATCTTTTACCTAAAAGGTATATAAATTGCAATTTACAAGGTCAACTATTACTTTGAAGCGATCGATGAAGATGTTCAATGATTCATGGAGACATTATTTTCCATTTTTCCAGCAAGTGGCGCATGATGCGTGCATGCCGGTCCGTTAATTTAAAAATCCGCGGTTTTCTTGGCAACGTTGCCAGTATTAGCAACAAGTAGCAATAATAAAGCCCGCCAAAAAAAGTGAGGTTAGGTATGTGTAATTCAAGAATTCCTGGAATCATTCACTCATTCAGTCTTTTATTTTATTTTCGAGCTCCTGAAATACTTTTTCCACTTTCATGAAGACAGATTATGTAGTTGGAAGTGTCAGAATTCATCAGAGGCTTTTCTCATTCAAGTGTTACAAGTTTCAGGTTATTTCCTCCGCATAATTAGCCGAAGTGTCTGTCCGTTTGAGTCCAACGACCTTATCTCTTTGTCCAGTGCATGAGTTCATCATGACAATTTCAGCAGTGAATCTGTGAATTATTGAATACGCAGTACGCAGTGCAACTCCGTAAACCGACCATGAAAAGTCCGTCGGTTGAAATCGGCGTCCAGCTTACAGACGTTTTTACGCAGAGTTTATGTTCAGAATTAATCGTCGAAATAGTGAAATTCATCATCTACCAGAAACAATTGATTCCTTTTCCCCTTGATCATTTAAAACTCTGCATTGCGAGACGAAAAAGCATAGAGGTTTGTATGTTTTCATCTCTCCGTTTCTAAGTTAAGTAGGAGCAAATTTCTACAGTTTGCAGGTCATTACAATCGATTCACTGTACATCAAGTCATTAGTATTCGAACGCACTTATGAACCTTCTGATAGTGCTGATCTGAGATTGACTTCTGTATCTACTCCTATTATTCAAGTTCTATAATGTATGTATTTTGACTAAATATATCCATCTCAATTGTAAGAAGGGTCCTCTCGCATATACTTGCACACGCCTCACTATCATGGCCTGGGTCACAATGAAATGAGTTCCTTTTAATATCCAAATTTGATGTTCTTATGACCTTCCTTGCCTTTTGGACCCTTTACCTTTCAAGTTTCAGATTCCTTCGTACCCCATCTGCCAAGTCTAAGAGAGCTAGGGTCTTATCAAATTTGGATTCCTTGGGGCTGACTACCCTTGTAAACATTTTTCCTAAGTTACCATATCAATTTTGCCCCCCCCCCCCCCCGGTATTCTGTGGAAGGGGGTTGTGTCCCTCACCTTTGTGAATCAGTATTTTGGATGGAGATGGGCTGGTACTGAATGACCTGGTGTCAATTTAGGTTCAATTTTACGTGCCACTGCCTTTTGATTGAATATTTTCCAAATTATGTGGAGATCGGTGACTTCAATAATCGCAACCCCAGTTTTACCTGCCGAAGGAAGTCCCATGGTTTTGGAGTGATGAAACTTGTACTCCTTGCAGTCAATTTCCTATTCGATTTCGCAGTCCTTGAACTTACTTAACCCGTTACGGCCGAGGAAAAAACTTGATACGGGTGGTTTGAATCACTCTGTTACAAAGTTTGGGGCACTCCCTCTTTCATGACATTTTATTGTCTTACTTGAAAGTGTGAAAAGTTAGCTTACTCACTCTCTCAAAATACTTGACAAATTTATGAAGAAAAACAATTTCATTGTGATCTCTCATGTTCTGCGATTTAGACACTGGACTGAATGGACCTCTGAAAACAACGATCACGGCTGGAGAAGTCATTTTCTACGGTCAATTAATAAAACTTGAATGAATAAGAAATCAAAGTGAAGGCACAATGTCAATCAATGAGATCGGTTTTCGATACCATGTCAAATAATGCAAGTTGTAGAGTTCCTATTGGATCCTGCAGCTCAGCTATCTCCCATTTTATTGACCAAGTAATCATAATTAACGGTTTAGATGAGAGATAAAAATTGGGTGGATGAACTAAGTAAAAGAAGTTTTTTTGAGAAGAAAAATATGAATTTGGAATTATATTAAAACTGAATGAAACTACAACGAAACCCAGCCGGGGAATGAATAACCATGGTATGTACAGACAGCTACTGTAGCCCTACCTTGGCCAACTTTGTCTCAGGATCAGCTCGTCAGGTCAAAAAGCATCCCTTTTAATATGCATCCTGTTTTTTTCCTGATCAAGTAATTTTTTTTGTTTTCTAGGACACAAGAATTGACCAGACTTCCAGTAGAGACAACCAAACAGGATCAACCTACCTTGTTGAGAAACACTTGAAAAAAACGGTCGATTCATTGGACTTACTTGACTCCATGTTCAAAGTAAGTACATATTCTTTTTTTCTTATAATTGGTTACTGCTCTTCCTGGAAATTTTGAAAAATCATTCCGAAGCAGTGAAGTTTTGACTTGTAAGTATCACCTCTCGGTGGCAATGTGCCTGAGTCTGATGAGGAAAATAGGTTGAAGCAAAAATATCCAGAGTTTGTATGGTCAAATACAGCCCTCACTTACAACGCAAGTTTAGTGATCCTAGAAATGCAAAGATCAAGCTCAAGCCAATACTAAATAGATACAATGTAATTCAACTACATGATGCTGAAGAAGCAAGCAATTAATGAAAGATACACAAACTCACAAAAATAACAGAGGCACTCATTTTGACCCCTAGGCCATGGATCTTCCTCAGTGCTTAGTCGGAAAAAAATGGAAACATTCTAGAATAGATAAGGAATAGAGCTGAAACTACAAAGCAATCCGAAACTAGTAGAAATTTGTAGTTTCCCCTTTATTCCTGCGATGTACGCTACAATTATCGGCATGTGGGAAGCTTTCATTCAAGTGCTAATGAAGATATACTTATTCTTTTCTTTGATTTCCAGAGCATTATTTCTGAGATTGAATCCTGCGACTCAAACGATCTTAAAGAAGTTCTGCTGGTGTTAGGAGCAACTATTCTAAGTCCTCAAAACGTATTCCGGATAAAAATCCCACAGATAGAAAAACTGCATTCAGATAAATATCATCCACCAAGAAAGCAACTTTTCAATGTTCTCAGGTAAGCAATGACTATTCCCCCAATCAAACCTAATATGCTCCTTTTATGTCATAAATATTTCTCAGCTGTAGCTTCAACCTTTTTCAAACCTTTGTTTTCTCCTTTATTTCTTTGAGCTGCAAAAACGAATGCTTTAACCAATTGGAATAATACATAAGAAAGGTGTAATAGTTGACAAGATTGTATGTTGGTCAAACCTGACAGCCAGCAACCAAGAAGAACTGCCAGAGGACGCAATCTGTGCCAATCGTGCCTTAGGGAGTGGATTTTAGATATTTTTTTTTGTGCCCAGTGTGATATTTGAGCGATTTGACCAATATGATATGTACTTAGTTGGCTGTATATCTTTTTTGCAACATATCTATCGGAGGAGAACCATTTGACATGAGAGTTAAAGTTCACGTTCCCTGCTCAAATAAAAATAAATTGTCCTCCAAGTAGAGCAATTGAAAAGACAATTTTGTCCTTGAAGGACGAACTTAGACATCATAGAACAATTTCGTCCCTGGCAGGACAACTTATTTTTATCAGAGTGGTTTAATCATTGTCATATTTCTTGGGGTCGGTTTTTTTTCCATTACGTAACTATAGTTGGGATTAGCATGAACAAAGTAGCATGTTAAGGGCTTACGAACGACACCGCTAAACTGACAAGTTTGGCAAAAATGAGATAGCGACTTTGCCGCATTCTACAGTATAAAAAACGGAAACTGATGATTTTAATTTTTTCTAATTCTGTAGGGAAGCGCTTCAATGTCGCTGTAATGTATGAATAAATTCCAAATCTAACCTCAAAATTAAAAAATGGCAAAGTTTTCTCTTGGTTCTACAAAATGGTCAGTTTGCAATTAGGCGGTGTCGTTCGTTAGTCATCAATGTGTATTTTTTGATCAACTCATCTAAAACTTTCAATGTTTTTTCCCCCTTTCTTTTTGCTGATCAGTCTGTTTGCTCACTGTTTCAGGTCACTGGTGGGCACTTCAAATTTCGCAGATCTTATGTGTAAAGAAATTAGCTCTAAAAATTTATTCATTTTCTTGAAACTGAACGCAAGTTACTGCGTCAAGTCAAGTCATCTCCTTCCGAAAGAGAACTTCAGCTTACCATTGAGAGCTCAAGAGTCGATCATCAATATACTTACATCAGATGGAAGTTCTGCAGATTGTTGTTGTTCGGGTATAAAAATTTTCAATGACTCCAATGTGGAGACTTCTCCTGCACGGGCAGGTAGTGATAATTCCGCCACCACTTTAGACATCAGCAACGAAAGCCTGACGTCTTGGTATCAATTCAAATCCCCCTTTGTGGGATTCAAAGATGAGAAAGTGAATGGTGTGTCAATCGTCAATCTATGGATGAAATCATGATAGCTTTCTCTCACCCCTTTTCATGATGCAGCAAAAATATAAAAAAAAAAAACGAAGTAGATATTAAGTCTGAAATCATTTTAGGATCATTTTGTTTTTAAAATTTTTTGGGATACTAGTCCCAAATTTAATACTTTTTAGTCAGACTATAAAAGTGTCAAATTTTTACTTTAAATACCCAGCAGTTGGCTGTTAAGTTGTTTCAGGACTCGAATCTATTTGAACTAAAGAGCTCAAATTATTACGAATTCAGATCCATTCCAATTTTCAGTTCTGTTTGCGATTATGTTAGCTCCTTCATGTTCAGAGCCACTCATTTGAGCCATTCATCCTTCATGCTTATTTCAATCGATCAGGTTGAGCTCCTGCTCTGAATAACTTGATTTACTGCTGAATTTATTTTATGAAATGGTATGTATGAAAAAATCACCATTTAAAAACAGCTGCTTTAAGAAGGTACTGATAAGTTGCTCAATATTTTACTTAAAAGCATTTTCTTCATTTAACAGCTTCGTTGAAGTCAATGTAAAGCGTGACTGAATTGATGAGAAGTCCTTTTAGATCAATTAAATTCGAAAATTGTACATTGAGGTCCATCATATTTGATATGATTTGTTACTATTTTAGCTCAAATTTTGTACATAGTAATTATTCAATGACTTTTTACAATATAGTTATAGGATTTTCTGAGCTGCATAATTGAAAATTGCTTCGTCAGATGAAATAGGGCATTTTAGAATTAAACATCCCTTTATGAGATTAAAGTGGCTTGTAAGCAAGCGGGAATTTATTTCATACAATGGTTTAACCCTTTATGTACCTGCTCTTATTAACTGTCTAAAGTCAGTCAAGCTCGAATGCATGAAAATTAAATCTTCACTCTTTCATTGATTTTTTTTTGTTTTAAGATTTTTCTACTTATACTTTCCCTATCAGAGTTTATCTGAAGCTCTTACAGCATACTTTATGAAGGAATATGCGCAGAACACCACCTCTCAGAAGCAGTCATAATTTATTGACCTTAAGCAATTTTTCAAAGACTCACAGACCTACCTTGTCGACTGGTGCTGCCTAGCTGTAAAAGGTTGTCAAGCCTTAACTAAACCTAGAATCAATAGACATGCATTAGTTTTCTGAATGAAACGATAAGTATGAAAAATCTCAGAATTTAAAAAGTGGTCAAGGATTAATGCAAAAAATCCCGCATATTCGGCAGTAGATTTTAGACCAAACTAGCTGTAACCATCAGTAGATTTCACGGGTTGATGGATATTAATTTTCATAAGTTTTCTAATAAAACTAAAATCAACTTGCTAGCTTCATGTTTTAGTCTCTTTGGAAATAATTCATACACTTTTTTTTTGTTGATGGGTTTCAAGGCTTCCTTAGCACTCTCTTTTTATTTTGTTGATAGGTTTCAAGGCTTCCTTAGCACTCTCTTTTTAATTACATCTTTTTAATTGTGTTTTACTGATTTTTGACGCCCCGCTCTCTTCGATATCAGTGGATTTTGTCTCTTCTCTCGGTAGAATGACTTTCTTTTTAAGCTAGTTTTTATTCTAATAATTGTTTTTTTATGACTGTAGAGTATTTTTACTTTTATAGTTAGAAGAGTGCCAAACAATCATTGACCATTATTGAGACTTGAGCTTAATCGACATTAAATCTCTGCGTACATCTTATATATTTATAATCCTTCATTAAATCATGTCGTTTGAATCAAAGGAAATAAATAAAACTGTGTACCTGCTCAAACGTTTTTCTGTTGATTGCAATTTTTATTTACTACATCATTGATTCCACTTGTAAATTTCGAGCATCATTAACATATGAAAAAAATAAAAAAGGATTCCATTTCATTACAACAATCTCAATTGATACACCAATCATGTTTTTTTGGAGAAAAAATCGGCCAATTATCAGTTTCATATTGCGCCAAGTGGAGAATAAGCGCTGCAAATTTGGATCATGACCAAAATAATCTAATTTTCTCGGTTATCAGTAGGTTATAAATGTCATTAAACTATTAAACCAAATCAAGATGGTGGATGATTTTTCCAACAAGCATTAAATTCCTGAATAATACTGATATTCATATTACAGATATAAAAAGCTCATCAGGGCGCACATTTTCTCTCAAGAGAGCTTTGCTGTTTGGTTTAAATATCAGTTTCATACTGAATCTTGACGTTCATTGGCAAAATCACCAACACTCTGTTCAAAGTTTAGAATACGATCATTAAAACAGATTCAGTACCTTAACTTTCAGCATTTTTCGCCTTTGAGGCAGGAATCAGGAAACATCAGTGCAATTCACTTTTGGAAAGGGGGTGGACTATGTTGGTATAGACAGAAAGTTATAAATGTAGCCAACATGCGTTACAATTCAGAAAAATGAAAATCTCAATACAGAATGAAAAATCTCAGTACAGAGGGGAAAATCTCATCCGAGCACAATTTTCCATCAAAGAGATACGCTGTTTGGTGTAACAATAGTTATGACCATTCAGGTAGGCGACTGCAGACGCATTTTGGGTCTAATTGGATCCATCGTTAGTGCAGCGTAGCCTCCTGAATTTACTGCTACCAAGCTCGAAGAAGTCGTGAAAACAAGCCCAAGACTTGGACAAGCGGTCACCAGCGGCAAGTGAACTTGTGCCATCTAATGAGCAATTATCCAAACAGCACCACAAATCTTAATCGCAATCTTTGAGAGAAAATTGTGCTTGGATGAGATTTTTCCCTCTGTATGGAGATTTTTAATTTACAGAATTGTAACGCATGTCGGCTAGATTTCCAACTTTCTGTCTATACAACTTGTACGTCTACCGCAATCAGTTTGTGTCCATAGAGGTGGTCACAGTAAATTTGAGTTTTGTCAGGGACACATCAACCAATTTTCAAGATCTCTATCTCTAATAATACAATGTTACCTTAGTAAAGCTAAAAGAGTATCCCTAATGTAGACTTTCATTTAGATATGATGTATCTCTTTTAGTTCGATAGAAATACATTAGGGAAACTTATGGTGGATAATCCTCGTATTATCAATAAGTGGGCTGGACATGCAAAGATGAAGAGAAAAATTTTTGCTGTGATTTGCAAATGCTTTTATTTCAATTATTACCAGTGATTTTTAACAAAGATTACAATAAAAATTACCTCTGGTACAATGAAATAATATGCTATGATTTGCGCTTCATCATCCTTCAAACATAACACACATAGCATTCTTGCTCATCAAGTTCTCTGAGATTGCTAATTTTAAATGAATGAAAGTAAAATGTTTTGCAATTTTTTTATTCATGAACAAATGAAGTGATACAATCAATTCATGACGTTGCTTTCTAATTCTTGCAAGAATGACAAAATGAACTCGACTCCTGGGGACAGTTCATCTGTATAGTCAAGAGTTTTGGCAGCTTTTTCGCAGGGTGATTGTTTCACATTGGTATTTATTGACCAAAAATGATGTAAAAAAATTGCAATCTAATTACCTTAAATTGCAAAGTTACTTCTATACCAGTACCATGGTGTACGCTAACTGTTACATGAAATGCATACATGTTATATGAATAATGGTAAGCAAAGCGATCACATCTACGTTGCAGCGTTTCAGAGTCTCATCTCTAATTTTATTTTTTTAAAGGATACCAACCGACATTTTTGCTAGAGTTTTATAGAAATAACTTTTGTACGGGTAAAATAATTGCAACAATTTTTGTGTGCTAGTACTAGTTGGTTACCTTTCAAAACATTAAAATAGGGGAAGAAATTTTGAAACTCTGCGATTTAGATGTGACTACCTATTTTGCTTAACTCAATCTGTATGTGCATCCATTCCCTAATATTTTTGGATGGGGAATTGATTTATTGATTTCGGTAATGGATACATTGAATTTGATACTGAATTTAGTGACTTGATAAAGCCGTGCCTATGAGGTGTTAGATCAAACATACCCAAGAACAGCTTTTGGAGGGAGTAAGTAGGTACCTAAGAATTTGAGAATTCACTCTGGCTCTTTCAGCTGATCAGTCTGGTCCAGAATTTTGTTGTCCTCAATCATATGCTTCACTATGTTGACGATATTTGTGCAATCATCTGCAAGAAAAAAAATTAGACAGTGATTTCTAAAATGTGATACGAAAGCAATGAAATTGATCATTCTCAAAAAGACTTGAACGCCAAAATTAAACTGCAAGAAAAACCTCTGAATTGACCCATTCAAAAGTTCACAGCTCCAAAATATTGGAGCATATATAGTTGATAAATCACATTAGTACTTAATGTAGGAATTATAAGGTAACTTAATGCCGTTTTTACTGTTTTTCTTGCAGTTTCATTTCAGACGCTTAAATCTTTTTGAGAAAACACTGTAGGAACCTTTAAGCATTAAATTTTCTTTAATAAACTGCAAATTTTCTTGGAAACTGGAGATTCTTTTGAGACTTTTGTTTGCAGTTAAATTCAATATCTGACAAGGAAAATATTATTGAGGAATAACATTCCTCAAAAAAATATTTTATCAGGGGAGTGTTGACAACATTTATTTAAGTTCATAAGGCATTTTCCCCTAGCACAGCAGCATTGAATCGGTTTCTAAAAGACGGGCGTAAGTAAAAAAATTCATGAGCCCTTGGCTTTCACTGATGACGCAGGACGCTAGGGCTCATGGGTTTTTGAACTTACTTCCGTTTCACAGAAACCGATTCAATGGTGAATCAACTTTGTCTTCCATAGGATGATAGACTAAATCTATATGAATCCTTTTCAGTAATCTTCTAGCTTTTATTTTTTTGGTGAACAGGTTAAAAATTTGATGAAAAAAACTGTTATAGGTGAGAACTTGAAAAATATAATTTGCAACACACAGAATGTAAATGCATTCCACATATTGCATTCTTCTTCGAATCACTAGACTGTTACAAGAAGAGTTGGATAATGATGTCTGTTAAACTTAAACATGTTGATCAAACGACACACTTAAAACTTGTACTGAGAAAACAGTGTCTAGTGATCAGAATTGAATACGACAGCATGAGTTAAGACAAGGTGCAAACTTCCCTGCTGGATGGTTGCCAAAAAATTGCAAAATCATTAAGGCAATATTCCTCCAACTTAACCAGTAACCTTTGCCAGTTAGGTTTGTGGTAAAGAAACAGAATATATTTCTTGACTGTCGTAAACAGTGTTCGAAACTCGCCTTTGAGTTTTAGGAGCCATGTGGCGCATCAAGCCCGATTTTTAGGCGCTATTAAAGACTTTTTAGGGGCCAAATTGACTTTTTGCCTATATATTACGGCGCATTTAGTGAAAAGTTAGACGCAAGATGTTTTTGTAACAGAACTAGTAAGTAGCTGTAACTTGGGGAAGACAAAAGCACTAAGAATGAAATCGTGAAGAATAGAGAAAGCAAGCTTTCACTTACAGTGCTGAAAATTCTGAGTTTTTTCAATTCAAATAGATTTGTTTTTCTTTCTTCATGTGACTTCCTGTGAAAGTCCAGATTTTTAGGGGCCACTTCGGCGTAGAGCCTTCATTTTTTAGGCGCATTTGGCGCCTGTGAGTTTCGAACACTGGTCGTAAAAGGCTGGTTACATCATCTTTATTGAATCCAATATTAAAAAATTATTCTTACCATAACCATTATGTAATTTCCCTAGATGCGGAAGCTTCAATGTTTTCAACATATCCTTAATTCCAAAGGGAAACCGACCATAATGCTTGCAAAATGCCTACAAACAGGCAATTATAGATTAAAACATAACACAATTTTCTTTGACAATAACGTGATGGAGATCTCTTTTGATCAGGAATGCCATTTTATCTGAAACTTGAGTGAAGTTTCACACAGATTCAATCAGGAAAGGCATGTATGATACTGCCTTCTATTCCTGTCATTAAAAAGGAATTAAAATGGATTTCCTTAATGCCTGATTCATACTGAAACCTATTGAATAGGATTTCAGTTACTTTTCTGTTGAATGATGTGATTGTATGCCAAAGGTGCTTACTTTTTCCTGTGTTAGTTTTTGATTAGTTTCTGATGCATTTCGCCTGTTCAGGCATCTTCAGACACCTTAAATTAATCATCCATTAATCTCACCTTAAATTAATCATCCATTAATCTTATAGTTTCTCTTTACAATGGATGTACTTTTTTCTACTTTTAATTTATTATAATAAGTAATTATCATGTTGTTACTTTTTCTATACATTACCTATAATTTAAATTAATTGTTTATATTTCAGAATTGGAAGCTGACAATAAATCATATCTTTAAAAAAAAGGCATCTTCAGAGAGGTAGTGACTATGAACTTTAAACTTTAAAAAACTTTCCGCATTCTTTGCGGTCGTCAGCCTCAGCATGTACGTAAAATTTTTTAAATTGATAGCTAGTTGGACTTGTCACTCACGACCAAATATACGTGAACTGATTACTCAATTTACGAGAGAGAGTAATCAGTTTACGCGTATACGGTCGCGAGTGACTAGTCCAACTGCTATCAATTTTAAAAATTTTACGTACATGCTGACAATTGCAAAAAATGCGGAAAGTTTTTTAAAGTTTAAAGTTCATAGTTACTATCTCTCTGAAGATGCCTAAACAGGCGAAATGCATCAGAAACTAACACAGGAAAAAGTAAGCACCTTTGGCATACAATCACATTATTCAATTGAATTACAGGTGCAATATGCATATCAAACTTGATTAGTTCCTTTTCTTAATATCGGTGCCATTATATTCAAGGGTAAATAACAATATATACACCATTGGTTCTCCTATGCAGGTAGGTGCTTTAGCTAGAAATGGTATTCTCTCATGTTAAAATGTACTCCAATTGTACTTGGTGATCAGGTTTGCGGAATTATTATTTAACAAAGTCACGCAAGGCAGCTTAAAGTGGCTGTAGGTTAATTTTCTTGAGCAAGTCACAAAGTCGAGAAATTTTCCTTGTACATCCAACTTTTTGCTGATGAAGCACAAATTAAAGTAATATTTAATCTATGAGATTAGGTAAAAAGCAAACTTAAATATGCTAACCTTCTTTAAGTCAATCCACTGTTTCAGATCATCAACTGGCTGTAACTGGCTATAATTTAATTGATGTGGTAACATGTATTGCAAGTCCCAATTCCCACTGGTCACAAAGATGGAGGAGTCTTTGCTAAACTTACAGCTCCTGAGCCACAGTCGAAAATCACTCCAGACTTCATCGAAAGTTGGTGCTTTATCAATATCTTCCTAGAAAATATATGTGAAACACACTTTAAATTATTTTATACAAAGATTTTGAAATTGCTGGCAAATAAAATTTCATTAAAATGGAGGTAAACCCTACTTACAACCAAGTATCAAAATTTCTTGACTTCACTGAAAAAAAATTCCCACCTTAAATCACTGATTTTAGCAAAATCCTGGATTTGGTGGACCACACTTAAAAGGTAAAACCTTGTGCCACTGCATTCATATAAGAATAAAGACATGCGGTCTCAGATAATCTTGGAAATTTTAATACTAAAGTGCGGTCTCCACTATAAATGGATAACTTCCCCGACATTTCAGGTTTTGTAAAATTCCCTGACTCTTTAAGGTTTTCCATGCTGTTTGTCACCCTGGCTACGTATTCCAAGAAAAATATTGATTCATTTATGGGTATACTTCCTCTGTATGTCAAAGGTGTAACTGCAGGAATGCATATCTCATTTGTGGCGTTTCAAAATCTCCGCTCCCATTTTAGTTGATCAAAGGCAAACAAACCAACACTCTCATTGGAAATTTTCACAAAATCCATATTCTTCATACTTACAGACCAAGAAAGGAACAATGTTGAGCATATTACCATTTACAAAATAAAGTAAGACAGGAAGTTTACAATGTTGCAAATTGAGTTACATGTTCTGCAGTTTTCTGTCGATATCTATACATCCAACTAAACCTCTTAGGTATTAAAATTATGATAATCGCATGAACTGCCCATGTTTAAGTCAATAATACCTCTATTGTAAACTTGTTTCTCAATAGCAAATTATGTTTGAGATCTTAATTCCAAAAACAGAATAATACTGAGCATAAAAAATGTAAGCAAGTCATACTCTAATACCTGTATGATTCCTGTGAGTTGAACGCAAAATGGAGTTAATTGAGGATGTGCCACAGGTCTAATATATGAATGGAAAGCTGAGTCAACTTCCAATTTCTTCCTATTAAACCGTAAACAGGCATGCTCAATAATTTCCTGTAAAAGTTAAAAGGGCCCAAGTTAGAAATTTGCTACTGATTTTGTATTGATTCTTTACTTTTAAAAAATAGAACGTTTGATAAACCTTAAAACTTGTTCAATAGTTCCAAATTTCTTCTCATTCTCGTAGGCATTCAGCTAAGTATGTATCTGTTGCTGAGCCTTACCAAATGGCATGAGGGATTTATACAGAGAGGGAAAACTTAGAAATGGATGCATTTAAGCATAGCGACGGTGTAAGTCGGCAATCACATAACTCGTTTGTGGTGTCTGAAAATCTCCGACTCTATGTTATTTTACTAAAAGAGAACAAATTGACATCATTCCTTGAAGTTTATGCAGAATTTTCTTAGCACAGAGAAGAAAAATCATTGCAGTTTTAAAGAATTGCCGTTGAGTAGTTTTCCGTTTGAAAAATGGAGTATGACAGGAAGTCTGCAACGTCGCAAACCGAGTTATGTGATTGCCAACTTACACCACCAATATGCATAGGATTTGCATGCGATGCAGGTTCTTTTTAGCATAAATGTGTCCAAATTATTTTGGGTCAAAACTCAAATTCAGAATATCCAAACTGGAAAAGGAGCAGTTTCAGGCATTTGATGGTTCTAGTAATGCTTCATCAAAATTGAAAAAATCCCTTTTTTCGTTAATTTAACTACAGAATGGATGTATGTCACACCTGCTAGAACTAGGGAACGAAAAGAATGGACTAACGTCAGGCATCATTCAACAGAAATGTATGAGCTGAACAATGGGTTATCTGATGATTGATGCATTCAGACTGATGTGACATATGAACAGTGAAACTACTAGACCACAAAATCTTGGTATCGTTGTTCAAAAATCTCAGCTCCCATTTTCTTTCTTTTTTTTTTTAACGGAAAACAAATCAATATTATTTCTTGAAATTTTCATTGAGTTACCTTCCCATAGAGCGGATAAAATCCGGAAGTTTTCAAGAATTGACATCAAGTAGTTTTCCATTTGAAACATAAAGTATGACAGGAAGTCTACAACACCGCAAGTCGAGATGCTGGTCTAGTAATTTCACCGTCGATAGGCCCATTCTTTTCTTTCCCCATTCCCAGTTCTATCTAACATCAGCGTCACAAACAAGTGTACAGTATTCATAAAGGTGATTATCATTTAATAAATGCTAGGACAATTAGGAAAAATATCTTTCAATATCAAGGAATGGCAAAGCCTCCTACATCACTCCAATCCTATTGGAAACCAAAAAACTCCACACTCTTTGAACTCTGGTAAATGGTCTTTGCAAGTCTCTGTTACACATAGTCACACTTCACGCTTGGCTAGACTTCACGGCCAGCAGTGGGCCACCGACAACTGTCAATTTCAATTTCTCCTATGACTGTTAACAAAATTTTGCTGGTGACCACAACCAAGATCCATCCATATAGGTCAGTCATTGCGCAGATTTCCCCGCTCGGGGTAAGCCCCTTTCCATTGGCTCGTGACGTCAGCATTACTGCCGCGAAAACCAGAAAAGTCGGAAACAATGCTTTTCTTATGGGAGAGAGCAAATTTTTCTTAATGAATCATTTAAATTTCTTACTTTTAAATCCTTTGAAACTTTCTGTGTGTCGAAAAGAACATTTAGACATTAGCATTCAGGGTTTCGATTTTGCCGAATTTGTGTTCTTTCATTTTTACAGTTTACTCTGCATCAGCCATTTTTACACGCGAATCTATACCACTAGATGGCTTGTTACATCGCTGACTTCAAAAATCATTTAAAAATATAAAAACGCAAATTCAGCTGAATTGAAACCCTTGACGCTAATTTCTAAACGTTCCTTTCGACACTCAGAAAGCTTCAAAGAATTTAAAAGTAAGAAATTTAAATGATTCATTAAGAAAAATTTGTTCTCTCCCATAAGAAAAGCATTGTTTCCGACATTTCTGGTTTTCGCGGCAGTAATGCTGACGTCATGCGCAGAAGATTCTCATTTGGGTTTCGGGAATAACTGACCTATATGGATGGATCTTGACCACAACTACTGTTTGCTAGATAGCACTTCCACTCAGCAGGCCGATTATTGAAAGTTTAAAGTAGCCCGATAAGATGTCAAATTGCGAGTTGTGGCATGGTTAAGATAGGGCTATGTCTTGCAGTGTCGGGCTGACATAGTTTCAATAACCGGGCCGCTGGTGCCCTTTGACCTTCCAGAGTTATTAATTCTTCTCATTCTAATGCTAAAAACAGTACTTCAATAGCATTAAAACTTTCAAAACCATCTTCCTACATATAACATGCTGATGTATTTTACTTACTTGCGGTTCAGGTTTCTCTGTGTCATCACATGTTGCTTCGAAGTCTAGGATGAAAAAATAGTCATATTTCTGTTTATGGTTAATGGGATTAGGAGGGAGGTACCTAGGGAGTTTCTTTTTGGCAGATTTCGGGGAGGCTAACAGTACTTTTGAAGAATTGTAATGTCTCGAAATTTGCTTAAAAATGTGGACCGAACTACCTAAGTGAGGCTTCATGTTTCGATGAATAAAACCGACAAACAAAGAGATTAAGGGTTAAAAACCAGATTTGACAATACCATGATGCTTCTGCTTTACGAAACTTTTCATAGAACACGTGCGATCACTTTAAATTTACGAAACTAATACAACAAAACAACAAATCGTAGATAAAATTATTATAATACATTTTTTGATAACATAACCTGTAATCGTGAACATGGTTGCGGCTGTTGTTGTTGTTTTATCAGTAAACAAAAGAGCGTGAGCGCAGCCTGGCGGCTGAAATAATAACTTCAACCCGCTAAAATTTGAAACTTATCTTGCGTAGACTCTAGCCTCGGCCTTCGGATTCTCCCTCGAGCAACTATTTCAACCCCGGAGATCAAATTGCATATTCAATGAATTGAAGGAGCTTCAGGTGAGCTAAGTAGTTTAGAGGACGCGGCTTTGCGCGCGCCAACAATTTTTTGGGCTCGATTCGAGCAACGATTTTTACGCCACTGTGATAAAATTGGACGTATTTATGCTAGAAGGAACTACGTTACACATAAACCCAATGAACGTAGTCCCTTTTAGCACAAATACGTCCAATTGCATATCGATGGTGAAACTCCCAAACCGCGTATATCGGTTTGCGACGTTGCAGATATTCTGTCTTGTTTTATTTTTTAAATGGAAAACTACTCATAGGTAATTTTTAATAACTGCCATGAGTTTTCCACCCCGTGCGAAGAAAATTCTGTGAATCTTCAAGTAATGATATTGGTTTGTGCAAACTTAATTTTTTTTTTTTTTTTCAATTTCATTGGTTTTATTGGCTATATAAATGAGAAAAATAATATGGGAGCGGAGGTGTATAAACACTGCGCAAACGAGATACGTGGTCTGGTAGTTTCATTGTAGATACCTATCTATTCATGGCACAGCAACATTATGGGTTTAAATTTGAGAACTTCTTGTTTCAAAAATTAGATTATTAACTGTAGGGTAAATACTAGGAAATGAAAAAGATTGAGTGCCTTCATCAACTGTATCATTTTTGTTGATTGAAGTTGGAGTCTTTTGAGTGCATTTTGGGTTCCAAGAACTAATCTTCCGTATAACATGGTACAACACATGGTATTATTACAAAATAGTATTATTCCTGCTTCTTAATTTTTAATTATTCTGCAACAATTATCTTTTTGCGAAATACAATCCTGGCTTTAGCGCAAGTAAACTACGGCCTGAACGGTCGAAACTGCAGTGGCGGCAGAGGAAAGCCGGAAAACCAAACGGGGACGCTACTTCAATATTAAACTTCCATCGCCTTGCTAAGGCGCAGGGATACAACTATTTGAACTCCCCGGAACGCGTAAGGTATCACCTTCAATTGAAGGCGTTTACGAATCTTCTGTATTTACATGACGAGATTTTCCAAATTTTTTTGCATTATATTATCGATTTGGGTTCCTTTTTTTATTTAGTAATATTATTCTTGCTGCTTACTTTTTAATTATTCTGCAACAATTATCTTTTTGCGAAATACAATCCTGGCTTTAGCGCCCGTAAACTACGACCTGAAAGGTCGAAACTGCAGTAGCAGTCCGCCCCTGTGTGCCGACACAGGGGCGGACTGGTAGTCGAAAAGTTAGGAGGAGACTTAAATGTAAGGGCCCCTTCTGTCGTTCGGGGGCCCCTCTAAGAAGGTCCGGGGACACTCCCCCGGTAAGTTTTGAACATTTCACATTTTTTTAAACACGTAAGCATTATTTGAGTTGGATTCTACAGTACTTGAACTTCAAAATAACCCATTCTCAGGATTCATCGGGGGTCCCTTCATCACAAATGCTTTTGGCGACCTTCCATATGTCTCTTAGAGACGAATTTTCAAGGAATTCGGGGACTTGTAGTGATTGAAAAGGATAAGAAAATTACAACATCGCGGGGAAAAAACGATGACTCTGACTCTGAACTGTTAGGGGGCGATCGCCTCCTCGCCCCCATGGCCAGTCCGCCCCTGCGCAATTTGGCCTAGAACGACGCGACTTAGGGAGAAATGATAACAAGGACTTGAGATGAGAAGGAGAAGCCCTCGGCGAGGCGATCGGCATGTAACACATATTACTGCCTACAAGACTGCACGAATACTTCACGCATTGCATCAAACACAGTGCGGTCATTGCGGTCAGCGTGAAACGGATAGCGCCTACAAGATTGCATGAATACTTCACGCATTGCGCCAAACACAGTGCGGTCAGCGTGAAACGCATAGCGCCTATAAGACTGCGTGAATACTTCACGGATTGCGTCCAACACGGTGCGGTCTGCGCGGCGCGGCGGCGGAAGTCAAAATCATTGAACCACATTTATGTTTGTTCTTTCATAATTTTTTCGTTCATTTCTTATGAATGGAAGGCCTTGTCCACACAGAGATAGGTTTGCGGAACTTAACTTATGCGCAAAGTTCTGTGAACATTTGCTATTAATGTTGACAGGGCTTTCCCAAAGAATGTGTTCAACACAAGTAAATGCGTCTTATGCATCCCTCCCCCGCTGACACGTTCATTTGATGGTTTTAATCGAGTTTCAAAACGAATGAGAGGGGGGCGGCAAAATACAGGCGGCCCATAGGCGGCAAGTAGGTGAATCCGGCCATGTATTTGTGAGTGTCCCAAAAGAGCGTGTCGTTTCAAGATGATACCACTATTCGACCGCGTGAGAGCTCGGGTTGCCTGTACTAAAAATTGAAGAAGAACTTAAATGGCGTTAACGTAACCTCCTTCAGTTTGGTAAAAAGCTATTTTTTACCGAGTTCCGAGAGAACGTGCAATTAATTTAACGATTCCACTTCTTTCTCATATTTTTATTTTCTTCTTTTCATAGACTCACACCCTGCAAACCGGTTTTGGGTAGAGCGTACCTGTATAGCGAGAGTATGGACAGATGTTAAACTCCGAAACCCATCAGGCCTTCACCGATACTTCTGCGAATAAAGTTAGGGCCCAGAAATGCAGCCAACCTATGAATTTCAATTATTCATAACGATTTACTATAATACTGTCATTACGAAACCGTCGTTTAAAAAGCAAGTATTTGTCTCAGTTTTTGCATAAATTTATTCATTTTTGCGGAAAAACGCTCATTTATGTACAATCTAAGCCATCATTCATTTGGTTAGAATTGGAATCTGCAGACAGGCGGTGAAATTTTGTACGTTAGATGTTGGTTAGAAGGATGACTGCACTTTTGGGCCCTAAGACCTCCATGAAGCTAGAGTCCCTTTATACTGAGAGTCAAGACAACACCCCTCATGGAGTTACAAACGGGACTAAAGATTACAGAAATTGAACGTTTTTCGTACAACGATCGACCCATTCTCGAATTCCTTTCTTCGTTCCTTCCGTCATTCCGTTTGTTCCTTGCCGAACCCGTAATACCCCGGTCCATTCCAGATTATAATCTTTGCAATCGGTGAAACTGTAATCTTTATTCCCGTTTGTGACACTGTGAAGGCCTAAAATACGGGAACCAATCAGAAATGGATTCACATTGTCTTGACTCTCAGTATAAAGGGACTCTACATGAAGCAATCTGCCCATACCCTCGCTATACAAGTACTCTAGTTTTGGGTACATTTTCATAGCTTTTTTTTTTTTTTTTTTTTTTTTTTTTTTTTTTGCTTCAAAAGAATATTCTGTGAAAACTTCAAGCCATGGCGTTGGCTCGGTCTCCTCTTAAAAAATAAAAAAGGAGCGGATATTTAGAAACACCGCAACCGAGATAGGTACCCACGTTTTCAGTCTCGCCGTCAATTCGTTATTTAGTAATAAAAATAAAAATGCATAAACACATAAAACAAGAATGATAAAACCAAATCAATGAAGAACTACAACAAGCCAGATACTGTAGTTCCGGATCGCAAAATGTAATCCATATTATGAAGTTTAATTTCTGCACTGAAAAAAAATTCTCGGCGTTTTTACCAAGGTCCGTTGGTACCTTTACCATCTCACTTTTTTTTACCAATTATCGGTAATTTTACCAGGACAGACTGGCGAACTTACCTCAAAACCGGTATTTTTACTGTTTTTTTCAGGTAAGAATACCACTTATATTGGTAATCAATTCCCGGTAACTTTGCCATTTTATCTCGGTAACTCTACGATAGTCGATAAAAAATATTGGCGTTTTTACCAAGGTCCAGTAAAATTACCGAGAAAGTTCAATAATTTTATCGATATTTCTCGGTAAAATTACCAATTCCATAAATGGAAATTTTACCAAGAAAAAACTGGGATCAAATAGAACCCTGAATTCTTGGTAATTTTACCCTTTTCTTAGTAAATACACCGAGATTTTTTTTTCAGTGTGCATCTCTGGTGTTTCCCAGAATAAGCCGCACCCCACGGGGGCGGTTTCCCGAAACCCATCGTGAGCAACACCCATCCCACAAAGCTACGGCATCAAGGTCAAGTCCCGCGGCCATGTTTGCGCCCCTCTTGGCGCTCCCCCCCCCCCCCCCCCCCCCCCNGCCGTCGTCGCCCGTCGCCCGGCGTCATCGCTCGATTCGCCTCGGCGCTTATTGAATTAGCCGCCTGCCTTCCCGAGCGGGTAAACAAGAATCATGTCACCTTTCTTGCCCCCCCCCCCTCACCCTCGCCCACGACTCGAGTGCCTGCAATGGCGAACCGCGAAGTGGGGTGAGGGTAGTTGAGCACTCATCGCGGGGTACTCGCTGCTCACTTGCTGGCGTGTGTACATACAGGGTGTTTACTCAGCACCCAACGCTTGCACCGCGCGCCCGGTTGTAAATACGTAATGACGCTAATCCGGTGGGTAACCTCGGGAGACGCAACGCCGCGCCGCACGCAGAGGACACCCTGAGAGGTTCTCGTTTTAATTTTTACAGGGTATGGTGGGCCAATGGAGATGCTGCATGTGTGAAGGATTTGTGGTTTGACTGTCGATTCTTATGTAAAAGTTCGCGAGAAACACGATGGTGCCACTGGTTTTCTCTGAAATCATCTTTCATGCTCAAAAAAAGTTCTCAAAGTGAGGCAAAATGGAGGGGATATCCCACCCTACCCTGAGAGTCCACCTCTACATCAAGACGAACTCTCCATGCAAAGATAGGGAGGAAATACATTAGCAGTGATGCCGTGTTTTCAGTTTTGGAGTCCCCAAATAAAGTGGCAGCCCTGTCAATGTATCTGCTCCCTATCTT